CTTGATTTATGTTATATATATATATATATATATATATATAGTTTTGGGTTTCTTATTGTGCCTTATTTAACCTTATTTAATATATTAGTTTTAATTGAAAATGTTACTTTAGTGTGATTAAATATGTGTTTGCATCGTGTATATTTTTTTTTTCATTATATATAATATAAAATTACCTCAGAATGAACTGTAACATTGTTTTTACACAATGCTTCACCGATTCCATTGTTTCCGCACAAGCTTATGTTGAACAAATGATTGAATTTGGTTCCCTTGGCAGTGAAACTTGCTCCAGTCATCACAGAATGGAAACTAAGGTAGGCAAATAAAAATATTAAAAAATATGAAATAAACCAGTATTAGTATTTGTATGAACAAATTGCAATGCCATTATTTTTACCTCAAATACAATTATCGTAGTCTACACCATACAATAAATTGCATTGAATGCACAATCTGTATTCGTCAGATCATTTCCTGTTTACATGGCAATGATACAATCTTATATGTTATATATCCCCCTGTCAATTTTCCTTGTTGCTTGCTATGCATGAGCCAATAGCAAATGAAATAGAAATAATATTATTTAACAGAAATATCTCAGTAGTGATATATGTAGCTAATCAGTTAGGCACTAACAACAACGACAACGACAACAACAACAACAATAACAATAATTATTATTATTATTATTATTATTATTATTATTATTATTATTATTATTATTATTATTATTATTATTACTATTGTTAACATTATTAATAATTTTATTTTCTTGGCTGTCCTATATAATTTCTGTGTAATGCACATTGGGGCGACGTGCAATATGCGCTATATAAATATAACATTATTATTATTATTATTATCATCATCATCATCATCATTTTCATTATTATTATTATTATTATTATTATTAAATAACAATGATGATAATAATGATGATGATGATGATGATGATAATAATAATATGTTACATTTATATAGCGCATATTGCGCCTTGCCCCTATGTGCTTAATACACAGAAATTATATAGGGCAACCGAGAAAATAAAATTACTAATAATATTAACAATAGTAATAAGATAATAATAAAGATAATAATAATAATAATAATAAAAGGCTAAGCTACGCCTATTCCTTAAACTAATTGCTCATCGCCCTTTGTTCAGCTTTAAGAATTACAAATAATTACATATCCATGATGAAGAAATTGTGTATTTGATAACACAGGTGGCTAATATATATATTCTATACCTACCCTTTTAACGGTGAGAGATCATAATGTTTGTAATTGTATACGATTTGACATTCAGCGTAGCACACAGAATTCTTGTACACCTTCAACCCTTCTCCACATGGAATACAGGACTCCTTTCCATAGGGATGAGCATTCTGAAGGTATGTATCTTAAATAAAAAAAATATAAAATTAATACTGACACTGACATTATCATTACAATTATCATTACTATCATTATCATTAAAATTACTCACTTGTTTGACTAAACTGCTCTATTTAACTGTTCCTTGGTTCTTGGTTGTGTTATATATTTAGTGGTCTTTGTTAATGTTGTTGTATGTCCCTGTGTTGCTTGAGGTTTTCTTAATGGTGTTGTGGCAAGATCAATCAATGTTTTCAGGGGCAGAACCAGAATGTTCCAGATTTAGTTTAGTTTGTGATTACATGTGTTCATGTGGATCTTTGTGTGGAGATAACACACCAAGGGCAACCCACAAATACTGGCGGCAGTACAAGTGCAGACAAGCGATGTTGGACGCAGATTCAACATCTTAAACTTTCTCTTACGAAAGATGGTGCGCTATTGTAAATTAATTGCATATCAGCCGCTTCGGCTGAAACAGTTACATTTTCATTATAGTTCTTTTCTACACACTTTTAGACAAGCACATTTTGCGCAGCATGGGACGCCAGCATATATACCAACAAATTCGGGGTTTTTTTACGTTACTTGGGATGCCATTTTGTTTATGAAGCTAACCCTCACTTACCCTGCAACATGAGTATACTCGTAGTTAGCAGTATGTTAACTCTGTGTGTAATCCGTAGTGGCAACATGCAGTCAGGTTTGTTAAAGGTAAGTATGCTATTGTTCTACTTACTTGGCGGACACTGCTCGCACTTCCTAGTTTTGTTGGTAATGTAGTAGCCTTCCGAGCATGGGATGCAGCTAAAGTGTGTGAGCGTGTAAAACAGATTAGGAGGTTAGATATGCATGCAGTATTATAGCTTATTAGGCACACTACAATATAAACTAAAAAATCCTTGCCCAGCAACAGGGCTTACAGGGCTGTGAGCCACAGGGCTCATAGGGTTGTGAGCCACAGGGCTCATAGGGTTGTGAGCCACAGCGCTCATAGGGCTGTGAGCCACAGAACTGCTAGGGCTGGAGCTTATCTGCAGAGTGTGATGCTCCTCCTGCAATCGAAGAGAGTCCACCACAGGTTACTCTCAGCAATTTGCTGGTACCCAGCTGGGTAAACTGAAGCAATGCAGATAAAGTGCCTTGCTCACAAGGACATAAGCGAAAAATGCAGTGAAGGATTTGAACCCAACCTCAAGGTTGGGAAACCAAACTATTTCTATAGCGCCAAACCGCTTCCAAAGCATACTACAGTATAAATCTACACTCTTTTTGGGTCAATGCACAAAATACTGTGTTCCAGTGTGTGGAACCATGACCAGAATGTACACGTCAGTATCAGGTGCACTTAAATGAAACCCCTTTACTCTGCTAAGCAAACAGAAATCAGCGAAAATGGACTTTCCTGCTAAGCGTATGTGAACACAAATTGTTGGTTAACACCCATGTTTGTCAGAGAAGCGCACAATCCTGGCCTGTTCCGATTGGTCAACTGTAAGTTTAATTGATGCTTTGGAAAGGTCCCCATTCCCATTTACACTGGATAGCAATATGCATATTAAAAGGTCATTGGTTACACTAATATACACTGTTTGCAAACACTGGTGGGAATGTAGAATTTGTCTACACATTGCCCTCTTTAGCAAATTTTGAGAATGTTGTTTTTTTTATATTGCAACAATGGGCTACCGTAGCTTTGCTTTGCTTTTATAATAAATCATTTTTAGAGCAACGTAGATGTTGGATACTATGTAAGTGCTGATCATATAGTAACAATTTAATGCAAGGCCCCACTAAGACCTCCCCAATATACAAACAACTTTGAGCATCACACAATATTTTTACTGACTTTTAGGATGAAACAAAAAAAACCTCCAATATTCAAGATTATAGTAACACTCAAGATATTACATATTATATAAAAATTATAATATATATATAATCATTTATACATGCATTAATGTAGTATATTGTTATATTTGTGCATGCTCTTTAATACATGTTGTATTTACTATAACAAATTTGTTATTACAAGATAATAAAATGGTATGCATGCATTTAGCACCATAAAACAAACCATCCATCTATAGCTAATCTTTTTGATGGGAGTAATATATTTGAAGAGTATACAGTATTATGTTTAATTACAACAGTAACAAGAAAAACTGTACATTTACAATATACTGTAGTATCATTTTAATATCAATACACTCTATAACCCCCCAGAAATTGGATAACAGTACTTCACTCAGGTGATTACTTAATTTTTTCATAATGTTGCAGCTAGTAGTAATTAATAAAGTAGCATTAACTGTACCTCCTTTACCCACAGACACAAGCAATTTGAACAGCATTTGATTCAAACCCCTACCCTATTTAGTGCTTAATTTGCAGGTACTGTGCAACCGTATGCATTTACCATGCACACTGCAAGGCCATTTTTTTTCTAATATCATCTACGGCATGCTTTTATACTATTTGAATAGAGCGAGTTTTTATTTGCAAAGCCAAATCTATTTAGTAGTGAACTCACCCCTCCATGTCACTGCCTACAGGGCATGTCTTGCAGAAGGCAGCACCGCCATCGACCGTGTTGGTAAGCTCAATGCTATAAATGATTGCCCTACAAGAGACACAATGAAATGAAAAATGAACAGCGAATGGATGGATTTAACTGGTGTAAACGCCAAAGATAACCCACGAAAGTCTAAAGAAGACTTATTTCCAGTTGGGTCCTTCTGGTGGTGATTGGACAGTACACCGGGAGACAATCCCCTACTCTTTTCCGAAGAGTGTACTGTGTTCTTTTAAATGCACATGGGCCATAAATGCACACAGGACCAACGGCTTAAACGTCTCATCCGAAAGACAGTGCGATATCGTAAATTGCATTTCAGCCCTCTAGCTGAAACACAAGGACGGCAGCGATGGCAATTGAACCGGGGACCAAGAGATCTCCACGGTTCAGCGCACACACAGTGGCTGCCACCAGATTAGTCCACTAAGCTAAGCTGCCTCCTTTAATATATAAATACAGTGCACCCTCTAATTTGAGACCCCCTCTATTTGGAGACAACCAAAACAATCTTCAATCTATTAACACTACTGCTAACCCTCTATGTGGACACCGAACCCTGAGATCACCGAAAATTTCCAGATCCCAAAGGTGGTCTCAAATTGGAAGGCCAACTATATTTTTTATGGAGTTGTGACTTTGCGGTCAGCACTTGGGTACAGTCTCTTCAACAGCCTACACTTCTTTTATGACTATAATGCAGTTAATTAGGGAAACTGAACTTATAATGCAACAATACTTATAATAAAAAATAACAAATAAATATGACAATAACAACACCTTTAATACTAATAATACAATCAATAAAAATAATAGTGTATATTTAACTCCTGTCATAGGCCAGTTCTTTTCAGAGTAATAACTTAGTAATATAAAATTAACAGCAAAAAAAATAAATTAATATATTAATTTAACAATATTGATGATAATAAAATGAAGGTTTGTAAATTAGCCAAAAAAATTAAGTTATTTGATCTTGTTTTTAAATGAAAATTTTTCCATATTTAAAACAAAATATCAAGTCAAATAATTTTACAATAGTTATACACACTAAAATATGCAATGTACAGTAAGCACTGTGGCATATCAGTATACAGAAAAATGGTAATGTGATATGTTAATAAATTATGCATATGAGGTACTTACACATCATTACGGTACATAGTGCCATGAATATCAGTACTCTCATAGTCTGCTTTCTGGAATGCCCATGTGAATGTCTGCTGGCTCTGTTTGTTTACAGAATAACTACAAAAAATATAAAAATTGAAATAAGGTTAAAAAAAAAAAAAACATTCTGATTAATGTTAATCTTGTTTCTTTCTTAGTTTCTTTGGTTAGCATTAAGATGTACTATTAGTCATGAGGTTAAAAAAAAAAAATAGAAAATTTTGATTCCACATTAAATTGCTAAAACTAAAGTTTTCCAGACAGTAGTCCAGGCAATATTGCGGCAATAATACCAGTACACTTACTGACATGTACCATTCATTAATACCAAATATTGCGGTAATACTGCCGTATTAAAAGCCCTTCTGTATAAATAGATCATGCATGCTGAGGGAGAGTCATTGGTTAATATTTTGGTCATCACAGACTGAGGGCGTTCTTTATTGTTTATTGTTTCAAGAAAATTGCTGATAAGGACTAATTTTGCGGGAATGTGACCTGCTTTCGTGTCAAACTCCAAACCGCACCATAATGGGAAAATTTTGGTAACATAGGTCTGAGAAGGAACACTACGTAACATAACCCCAATAGTGCAGCTGTGGTTTAGTTCTGACCTTTTCATACAGAAGGCATTGTTGGGAATAATCACGCCAATTTTGTGGTAACATAGCTGTCTTAAAGTGGCATAAGTGTCTTTAAGGAGCGGAGTTTTTAGTTCGAAAAAAATAACCTTTGAACCCAAGAACATGAGATTAGAAAGCAAGCATCCGAACCCTTAGCC